GTCGGACTGGGCCGACTATATGATACCCTTCACCACTTTGGGTATATTCTGCAAAGTCTCCTAACAGACGTCGCCTTTTCGAACAAATATTGACATGAAATAATATATAAGAACTTTGGTGCACCATTTCTATTAAATCGGACAAAAATATATGGGAGCTATATCTAAATCTGAACCGATTTTTACGAAACTTAGTACACATCATTGTAGACTCAATTAAGTACGCTATGCCAAATTTCGTGCATATCGAAATATATTTAGGGACCTTGCCGCACTATTTACTTTAAATCGGCCGAAAATATATATGGGAGCTATATCTAAATCAGAACCGATTTTCACGAACATTGACACACATCATTCTACACCTAATTCATAACGCTATGCCAAATTTCCTTCAAATCGAAAGATATATTGGAACTTTGGTGCCCCATTTACATTAAATCGGATGAAATCATATATGGGAGCTATATCTAAATCTGGACCGATTTTCAGGAAAGTCAACACACATCATTCTGCAAATCGAACGATATATAGGGACTTTTGTACACCATTTACATTAAATCGGACGAAAATATATATGGGAGCTATATATAAATCTGAACCGATTTGGCACACGTCATCCCGGAGCTAATTCAGTAGCCTATGCCAAATTTCGTGCAAATCGAAAGATATATAGGGACATTGGAGCCCCCTTTACCTTAAATCGAACGATAATATATATGGGAGTTATATATAAATCTGAACGGATTTTCTCGAAACTTGGCACACGCCATTCTAGACTCAAGTGCAATTCGAAAGATATATAATGACTTTGGTGCACCATTTACTTTAAATCGGACGAAAATATATATGATCTATATCTAAATCTGAACCGATTTTCACGAAACTTAGCACACATCATTCTGGACCTAATTCAGTACTCTATGCCAAATTTCGTGCAAATCGGAAGATACATAGGGACTTTGGTGCACCATATACCTTAAATCGGACGAAAATATATATGAGAGCTATATCTAAATCAGAACCGAATTTCAATAGGGTTCGTCCTTGGGCCAAATAAGTCACTTGCGCCAAATTTAATCCAAATCGGATCATACATGCGACCAGTACGTTGTTTACATGTATAAATCGACTCAGAAAGTTATTCTATGCATATTCTCTAAAGGAACCATGTGTCTATCTTGTTTCCTTTTGCTTGTTACAAACATATGCACAAAGACATAATACCCTGTACCTCAGTGTGGTAAAGGGTATAAAAATGCATAAAAGTCCAGTGGCACAATGTTCTGTAAATTGGGACTGCCATTTGAGTTGATGGGGTGGCAAATCTCATCACTATCAAAAGTTGACCGACTTTTAGGTATAGACCGCCGTAAATTGTTGGATTTTATGAGTTGGTAGATTTTTAACTAAATTGGCTATAATTTTTGGAAGCCCTTGGCGATTACATTAGGAACTCAGATGGACAAAATTACCATATGGAAAGTTTTTGAGTTATCGCGGGATGATTTTTTCCTGGTAACACTTCATTTCATAAAGACACATTTTTATATTTTTCTTTGAGTCAATTGTAGGCTATTTTTCTTAATTCTGTCTCGAGTTCTTGTGCGGCTTTGGGTGTCTTTACCATAATTAGGAGTATATATTAAATTTATCATTTCGAAGACCACATTAAGTAATATGTTCTTGATCAGAATAAAATTCTATGTCGACTTAGCCATATCCTTCTGTTGAAATTTCATTAGAGATCACAATAATTATTATAGAGCTCTGAATTTTAGCACAGACATTCCTAGTACATCTAGAACGTTTGTTATTGCAAAAAGCGGTATATCGGACCACGTTTTGGTATAGACCCATATAACGGTAATATACAATATTCGGTATTTTGATGATGTTGGACAGGGTTTCCATCCGAACTAGCTGTAATTTGATATTTTGGATTTTCAATGTATAGTAAACCTCAATGTATTGACTCATGTTTCGGGGTAGCCCCCATAGAGCCATATAGCGGTAGTTGTTGGGCAGGACTTTTATCTGAATTGACTGTTATGTGGTATTTTGGGTAACAAATATGTAGCGAAACTACATAATAATAATTATTAATATTTATCCAAATTTCGGAGTAGTGCCCTAATGCACCCACCACCCCAGAATTCTGTATTTTTGCGATATGAGACCCCTTTTTCAACCAAATTCGCGGTAATTTGGTTGTTTGGGTTCTCAATTCATAGCGAACCTCGTTAGTAAAAGGTATTAATATTGACGCAAGTTTCGGAGAAGCCCTCGATTGACAGGATCCCCAATATTCGGAATTTTGGGATGTTGGGCACGTCTTTTATTTTGGATTGGTATTGGGTACAAACAAAACTTATCAATATCTGTCCTGTTTTGGTATAGCCCCCATATGACAACAAACCACTATTTGGTACATCGGACATCTTTTCAAACGTGAAGGTATTAGCCAAATCTATGCGTCTGTAGTTTTGTATTTCGTTTTCTCCTCAACGACCCGATCGGTTTAAGGTATTTTGAATGCCAACCTCATGGTGGACGTTATAAAAGTGTGGGTGGCAAATATTCCTACCGAAAATTATGTATGGGAATTAGCGGTAATTCGAAAATATGAACTACATCACATTATCGAGAGTTCACTGTTTTGGTTGTTCACCATATAAGGAGTTCACTGTATGTAATTCGATGGTCCTTGGCTCATGTTTTAACTTATATTGCCTTCATTTTATATATGATACTTCCGTGTAAGCCAGATCACAATCCAGCAAATAAGTCTTTACAGCCGACCGTTGTCCTGGTGCCTGTTGCAGTTTCTTTCTACCCAGGTCTACCGTTGTGCGACTATAGTCGCTATTTGCAACACTTTGTGATGCCCTGTGACAGCAACTTTTTTTAGCTTTGGGCATAATACCCTTCACCACATTGTGGTACAGGGTATTATGTCCTTGTGCATATGTTTGTAACAGGCAAAATGAAACGAGATAGACACATAGTTCCTTTTGTGAATATGCATAGAATCACTTTCTAAGTCGATTTATGCATGTCCGTCCGTCAGTCTGTCTGTCCATGTTAAATTGTACAGGTCGCATTTATGATCCGAATTGGATGAAATTTGGCATAGGTCACTTATTTGGCCCAAGGACGAACCCTACTGAAATTGGGAAAAATCGGTTCAGATTTAGATATATCTCCCATATATATTTTCCTCCGATGTAATGTAAATGGTGTACAAAAGTCCCTATATATCCTTCGATTTACACGAAATTAGGCACAGCGTAATGAATTAGGTCTAGAATGATGTGTGTTAAGTTTTCTGAAAATCGGTCCAGATTTAGATATAGCTCCCATATATATCTTCGTCCGATTTAATGTAAATGGTGCACCAAAGTCCGTTAATACCTTTCGATTTGCACGATATTTGGCCCAGCGTAATGAATTAGGTCGAGAATGATGTGTGTTAAGTTTTGTGAAAATCGGTTCAGATTTAGATATTGCTCCCATATATATTTTCGTCCGATTTAATGTAAATGGTGCACCAATGACCCTTAATATCTTTCGATTTGCGCTAAATTTGGCATAGCGTAATGAATTGGTTCTAGAATGATTTGTGTTAAGTTTCGAGAGAAGCGGTTCAGATTTAGATATAACTTCTATATCTGACCAAAATTTAGTATCGGTTGCAGAATGACATGTTTATGGATCCAATTTCATTTTACTGGTCCTTTAAAAACGCGACGTCTTTTAGGAATCATCTGTTGAATATACTTAAAGTGGTTAGGGTATCATATAGTCGGCCCCGTCCGACTTTATTACTTTCCTTACTGGTTCTTTCCTGGTTTTGTTATGTTTCATTTTCCTGGAAATGGAAATTAATTTGGATTCGTCTACATCGTTTTGGAGTTCCAATGACATCTGACATATTCTCGGAACAGTTTTATTGAAAAATTTACTTTTCTATGCTACTTTTTTCAAGGGAACGACTTTTTGTGCAACTTTTTTTAAATTTCCCAGCGTTAACACTCTTTCCACCAGTTGACTACTCACGTCGTTAACACGACATTTTCACTAAATTAATTTTAAAAGTGTGTCATAATTTTTAGTTTACCCTTCATCGAAAATGACACGATAAAGGATTTAAGTTTCCACCACGGGAGTGGAAGTATAGTTAGAGAATTAATATCTATGATATCATTTTTATCCCCAGTGAAACTGTGCAAACTGTTCGGCCAAGCCATAGCTGAACCTATTTCTCATTTTTGGAAAGTATCAATCACTTCTATGAAAAGATTTTCCTCGATATCAAATGATAACAATGTTTATATGACTACCAATTAAAACATTTGATTGTGATTCATATCGGGGACAACGAACATCAATGGAACAAATCCATGGAAATTATTCGAATTATAACATATGCGTGCTAGCTGTAGCAGTAGTGTATTAAATTATTACCTTCGGCAAAAATACAACAAATACCAACACAAAGAATGGAATGTTTTTTTGAAATGTAGGCGGTATTTACATGTGTTCTCTTCACTACAAAACACGAAAGGGGGCTTGATGTCAATGGTAGCAAAACAAATCGCAAGGATTTAGATAACGGAAAATAGCTCTTGACTAAATAACAAGACTTTGCTGGGTATATACCAAAATATAGTACATATGTTACACTTACACATAGACCGAAGCACACACGAAAAGGGCACACACAGTTTTGTTGTAATACATTTGTAAAATGACTGATTGATAGCACTCGTAAGGTTGTCATGGCAGTAGTAGTCGTCATCGTGGTAGTCATCGTAGGGTAATGTAAATATTTATTTCCGTTCTAGTCTAAACAAATCTTCATCAGTGTCCACAACACGTACACACGCACACAGACAGACACACTTAAATTGATTCATTTCATTTCCGTTTCATTTTTTCCTCCCATGACCGCTTCATTTGCATCTTCTCTTGTTCTCCTTCTCCTTCGTTTTTTGCAGATCATCAATATGAATCACACAGTCTTAGGCCTCGGCAGTTTTTCCCTGCAAACAAATTCCATGGATATGCTGAGTTCAATGGGCACGGGTGACAGTAGCGAAAGTAAAGATATATCCATGGATTACCTGGAAATGACTGATGATGGACAAAATAACCTACATCAATTAAATGCGTCATTGAGTGGCGCAGGCGGCAGCAGCAACACCAACAACGACACACTAACAATAGATCCGGTGTTATTGGAACGATTTACTCGTAATCGCAGCATAGATGGCCTATGGTACCATGTGCTCATCATGCTCTACTGTGTTCTAATCATTTTCGGAGCAATGGGGAATATTTTAGTTGTAGTAGCTGTGATACGAAAACCAATGATGCGAACAGCACGAAATTTATTCATATTGAATTTAGCTGTGTCAGGTAAGCGAACATGTACTCGTATGCTTGAATTGTACTGCAATGTGTTTACAAAATAATATTCGAAATATTTGAACAGTGGTTTTAATTAAATTCGGATGATTTTAAACATTTTAAAGGGGGCAATTTATAGTATGTTGTATTTCCATACCATTATGTAAATGTGGAAGACTATCAGAAAGAAGAGGTTAATTTTTTTAAGAAAACAGACATACATTTACTACTGGTTTGAACTGGCGATCTTTGCTCAGAAATCCGTATATCTGTGTAAATTCTTATATCAATGACTATTAAATTTTTGTACAAATAAATTGTAAATTATGGGGAACTATCGTAACTGCCAAACATTGGACGATGGATACAACTTCGGTTCTGTACATTTTAGAACCGGATATATGAATAAATTTAGTCATGTCCGTATGTCTGCCCGTCCCTTGAAATAACGAAAGAGGTCACAATATTCTAAATAGTGCTTTGAACGTTTGTACATACATTGTTACTACTCCCAGGATGTTTGACATTGACATGTGTGATAGGGCCCAATTTTAAGTATTATGGGATTGTCTTTAAGTCGAATGGGATGTATTTAGGTGCTTTGGGATATTATTATGCTGTAAATAATCCTCACCAAACAATATCGGTTCATATTTTGTGGATAGCTCCCCTATAACGGTATCTCAAGGTTTCAGTAACATAGACAGAATGGGCACATTTTCACCCAAATTGGTTGCTATTTTATATTGTAGATTATCATTGGTTAGAAAAACAACCATCCTCACAAAAAATTCGAATATTCGAGTAGAGTACCTTAAAAACTTTCGGAATTTTGGGAAGGTTTTTCTAGCGAATGAGATATAATTTGATATTTTGAGTTTCATTGCCAAATCTTTCTACAACAAATTATTAATATTGATCGGCGTTTTAGTGTAACCCCATATGAGTCGTTTAATTTGAAAGTCGTTTAAGTTCATTTTTATACCCTCTATATTTGTCATTCCGTTGGCAACACCTTCAAATATCCAATTACGATAGATAGTTTCAATTCGATATAGATCGGAATATTCCTGTTTGAGCTCTGAAATTTTGCACAGACATTGCTAGTATTCCTAGGATTATTGGAAATAAGGGTATATCGGTCCACGTTTTGGTATATCCCCCACATAACGGTAACCCCAATATTCGGTATTTTGGGGACTTTGTACAAGCTCTGCAACCGAATTGGTTGTAATTTGGTATTTTGGGTTCTCATTGAATAAGACATATCCGTACAAAAAATTATTACCCAAGTTTCAGGGTAGCCCCCATATAACGGTACTTCAAATACTAGGTATTTTTGGGATTTTGAACACGTTTTCCAACCGAATTGGCTATAATTTCGTATTTTGGGTACTCATGGTAAGCACATGTCGGTACTAAAAATTATTAATAATGACCAAACGGTACCCCTAATATTCGGTATTGTGGGGATTTGAATACGTTTTTCAAACGAATTGGCTTTAATTTAGTATTTTAGGTTCTTATCAAGTTTCAGGGTAGCCCCCATATAACGATACCCCCAATATTCGGTATTTTTGGAATTTTGGACAGGTTTTCAATGAAATTGGCTGTAATTTTGTATTTTGGGTTATGGTATAACACATCCTTGGATTAAAAATATTAATATTAAACCACGTTTTAAGGTAGCCACTATATAACGGTACCCTCACATATCTGTACTAAAAATTATTTTATGACCTAAAATTATCAATATCGATGCCCGATATTATAAATAGCCCCATTAAACGATGGTGCCCTATTTGGTAATCATCTTTTTCTCACGTATATCAATAAGGTTACGGTTGAAGAATATATAGACGCACAAGGACTCGAGATAGAAGGAGTATATGGTTTACCAAAATATCTCTCATTCAATTTAACTAAAATATGTCATCTCAAAAATAATCTGTAAAAGTCTCAAACAAAGATAAAAAGCTTCTAGTTCACGAACTCTAAAGTTACTAGCAAGAAATTCATCATGTTAAAACTTAAAAACTTGACCTATTTCGATTTGTTTTTTTCAAAGGAATCAGTATTAACTCCCTGAAGAAAATTGTCCTTTCAAAAATATAATGACCTATGCCACATGTGTAGTTGATTATTATTAAATATTTTTTTCAATAGTGAAAGGTACAATGAGGTCCATCTGAATCTTTTTACTTTTTCATTAGAAATCAGGGTCAAAGGCTGACAATATCGGTCCACTTCTTACAATGCCTCTACGTTAAACTTTTAAATTGCTCTTGAAGGGAGTAACCGATTTTATCCAATCTTTGCTCAGTGTATTATTTCTTCCAAACTTTAATCAAGTTCAAAGATGTTGAATGTCGCTCTTTCTGGTACCTCAAACAGAAAATTGTCAACATTTTCCTCAATTTTTTTATAACATCAATCCTATATCAAGTCCATCGGTCCATTCCTTTGGCTACCTTTCCCACAATGTGTCAAAATTTAAAATTTTTATAAATCCAATATTAATAGAATTGAATGTTCGATTTGACCCAAACTCTGTCGTTGTACAAACGATCAAAATTTTGAAAATTTGTTAATCCAATACGAATCGTGTGGAATGTCAGGTGTGATAAAAAATAAACACATCGTAATATTTCTTTAAATTTTTGTTAAAAACGAAGTTTGTCCTGGGACTTACGTGTAAACTACTATATTTAAAGTTTTTTAATCGATCCAGATCTATGATCTGACATATTGTCAGCTTGACATATTTCGTCGGTCATGCAATCCAACGGAAATCTTAGTTCATACATACTCGAATCCTACACCCCCATAATGATCCTAACTCCAAACTTGAGGATCCCAGATCCATTGGTTCACCCAAATCCTAAATGTAATTATAGTACAATTTAGTACTTTTCGTACACATAAGTAAGAAATTTCTAAAACTACGTACATATTTCAATCCTACACTCCGGCGGTAAAATTAATTTCAAAATTCCAGCTCCATTTGTACCTCCAAATTCAAATCGTACCAATTATAGTACCATATAGTACATTTCGTATACATGAGTACACGTTTTCAAAACCATCTCCTCATATCGACCCTACTTCACATTTCAAATTTTTGGCGTTATCGGTTCACATACTACGGAACTGTACCAAATTTATGACATTTTCGTACTTTTCGGATAGTTATAGTTCGAATTTCTAAGAACCCTTTGGTACATCTTTCCTACACTCCATCAATTATCCTCAATCCAAATTTCAGAGTTCTAGCTCCACTAGCTCTGGCCACCACCAAATACAAATGGTACCACATTTAATACTTTTTAGTATTTTTCCAGCCGTTCTAGTACGAATTTCCAAAAATCCAGCCTTATCTGACCCTTTTGGACCAGATAGATTTGTGGCTTTGAATTTCCATCGCATTCAAGTCTTCAAATTCTAAGTATTATATACTTAGAATTTGAAGACTTGAATCGGACGTTTTTTTAATCTAAAATATCATAATTATTGATTACTTCAGTTTGTGTTGAGAAATGTTTCTTAATTGCACAACTAATGAGAAATCTATCCTGACTAATGAGAAATCTAGTTCTTTTTTTAATTTCACTACTGAAATGTGATGCTTCCATCATAGCTAATTCGGTTGGTTGCTATATAGAATAATGGCTCGTCATTCATTATGTGTTTCGTTGACAGCTCAGCTGCTGCAAATCGCTGAAGCAACCATCACATCATCGAATATATTCGGACAATAATGTTCACTGTCACATTACGTTTAAAAAGAGGAAACGAAAATATAATCTCGGTCACCACTAGCTATGCATATCAGAGTAAGAAGAATTGTTAAGTTTTCAAACTATGCGCTAATTAGAAACGTAACAAATCCATTTTTTCTGACATTAGCAAAGTAAAAAGTAAAAACCGTGTAATTTTTTTTTGTGTTTTTTTACCTGGTTTTAAGTTGAAATAATTT